GAGGGAGGGAGAGAAAGAGAGAGGGAGGAAGGAAGGAAGGAAGGAAGGAAGAAAGAAAGAAGACATAAGTGTCCTAGATGCACCATCAGCTCCATGAATTCTCTGATGCTTCATTTGTTTGGAAGTTGAATGTCTAGAGCGGAAAGAGATTAAGGAGTTGCAGGGAAATGTCCTTTCTCATAGCTCTTTAAAGCCCCTGTCTATTTGGGACAGTTGGTGTCACCCGCTGGGGGTTTAAAAGCCACTAGAGGTTGGAGATTTCACTTCCCTGAGCCGCACATTTCTTCACTGCAAAGTGGAAAGAAGGCCACCGGCTTCAGAGGATTGTGTTGAATTGTGCCTGGAATGAAATATGGTATGTGGGGAAAAAGTTGTTGAGAAATATTTATTATGAACAAAAACCAAAAAACAAGGACCTGCTTTGTGGCACAGTGGTAATGCACTGCTCAAGAGTAGCTGGCGACATCAGTTTGATTCCCTGGCCCGGTCAGTCTGAAACATGCTGGGAACACACGCGAGTACCTGGGATATTGTACAATGGACTGGAAGAAGGGAGTTTAGGTATGACCAGACCCTATGAAGGGTGCTCCTCTCTCTCCCTTTCACAATCACACATGCATGAATGAAAACAGAGAGGGAACACTGCATGTACTTTGACATTTTTTTCCTCTAAGATAAGCTCATGTTTTAATTCCGTTTTCCCACAAACCTTTAGAAGTGCCCTTGTATGGAAAGTATGTTTAGGAGCTAAAACAAAATGAGATTCCCTTCTCACCCTAATCTCTGTCCTATATGAAGACCAGCTATTTCCATTATTGACATTTACTCAGAAAAATTATTATTTGCTGGAGACCAGCAGTTAGTGTAATGGCTATGTCACTGGACTCCCACGTAGTCGACTGTGGTTCGCGTCCTGGACCCGGTGGCTTAAACTCACGCTGGGTGCGTGTGCGTGCGTGCCCAAGATTCCGAGAAGAGAATGGAGGAGAAGGGATTGCAGCGTGGCCATCCCCCCTGGGGGGTGATTTCCTGCTTTCTGTCTCTCTGTCTCTCTCTGTCTGTCTGGCGAGCACACGCTCCCTATAGCAAAAATCTCTCAAAAAAAGAAAATTATTTGCTGAGTGATTACAATGGTCAAGCAAGTTATTTCACAGGGTAGTGTGGGCTCTTTCCCATTATGAGAGACACTGAGCCCACAGAAACACCCCAAATGTGAATTTGCCTGCTATGCCTTCAGGTGGATTTTCTTCCTTTTGCCTTGCATTTCTTCAACTATAATTTTTAATGACCTCTTATATTGGTTAGGAAAATAAGAGTCCACATTTTCAAAACAGGACAGCTATTATTCTACAAGAAGACAAAATTAAAGAAAGAAAGAAAGAAAAAAAAATCTCCAGACTGCTGTGTTACCTGGATAATATGTTTTTCTTCTTTCCGTTTTCTCATTTTCATCTTTTTTTGGGGGGAGAGCATGTAATGCCAAGTGTCTTAGTCTACTTTAAGCAGCTATAACAAAATACCAGAGACTGGGTAATTTATGAAGAACAGGAAAGTGTTTCTGACAGTGCTAAGGCTGGGAAGCCCAAGGTCAAGGCACTAGCAGCTCATTGTCTGGTAAGGACTGCCTCTGCTGGAAGAGAGGACATTCGTGCCCACGTGACAGAGGGCAGGGGTCAAGTTAGCTGAAGGCATGTGAATCCACTTTAATAAGGGCCTGAGTGGGGACCAGCAGATGGCAGAGTCCCAGACCCTGCAGCTTAAAACTCTCGCCGGGCATGTGTGCATGTGTGCCCAAGATTCCCAAGAGGAGAATGGAGGAGAAGGGACTGCAGTGTGGCCTTTCTCCTGGGGGGTGATTTCTCGGTTTTTGTCTCTCTGTTTCTCTCTGTCTCTCCAGTGAGCGCACACACCCAATAGCAACAAAAATCTCTCAAAAAAAATTTTTTTTACATAAATAAAAATAAGGGCCTGAATGCCATTCATAAAAAGACCCCTCCCAGCCTAACTGCCTCTCTAAGGCCCCACCTGTTAATCCCATCACATCGGCAATGCCTGCATTTGGAGGGCACACATTCAGACCACAGCACCAATCAAGTATTTTTATGTGGGGTCCGGAACTACTCCCAGAGAACTGTTAACCAGATTTTAACCATTGAGGTCATTTATAACTCTCCTTATCAGAGGTCTTTAAAGTGCTTAATGAAAATCAGTGCAAGCAAAGTAGATTGCTATTACACTTTGAAGTTTATTGGAGCTTCCTTTATAAACCACAGAGTCTCCGAGGTCAGACACCAAACAACAGGTGAAACTGATACAGAATTGGAGACCGAACCATGACCTGATTTTATGTCACAGACGAGAAAGGGGGCAGAGGAGAAAGGCAGTTCCATGTGGACAGGGATGGCGAGACGGGCTGAGCCTCAGGGCCCCCTCCCACCCCCCACTCTTAAGTCTGTCTTCACCTCCACCATCTGACTGTCTGAAATGAGTGCAGAGCCCAGATTCACCACCAAGACCATCCCTGACCCCTCCTGGGAGACTTCCCTGGGTGTTGAAAGTGTGTCGTTTGCTTCCTCAGGCTGGCCTGGAACCATGAAGCTGAGTCACATCTGTCCACAGCTGCTGCCGCTCCCGTCCTGGGGCACCAAGGTCTGAACGAAGCTGGCAAGGACCAGCCCTACCCCCTTGGAGGAAATGGCTGAGCAGCCCCGGCAACAGCAGATGAAAACTTCCTTCCTCTACACCCAGCTGCAGGCCCCCCCTGCCCCAGCTCTCCCCGCCCAGTCTCCAGCCGCTGTGGCCTGGACAGCAGCCCCAGGGGGCCTGGAGGAGGGACACGTTTTCCCCAGTCCCGGGACCGGCTTCTTGGCAGGCTGGGGCCTCAGGCGCACACAAGGCTTGGCCGCTCCCCCTGCTAGCCGGCAGAAGGAAGGGCCTGGGAGGGAGCGGCCAGCTGCTTTCGTTTGCTCTGCCCCGAAGGAGCAGGAGGCAAAGGAGAGAGCCCGGGATGGGACGGTGAGGACCTGGGGCGTGTGCGGCTCCCTGCATCGCAGGTGGTGCCTGAGCCCTGACACTCAGAGCTGTGGGCGGCGGCCGCCCCTGCCAGGCAGGCTGCCCAGCACGGTGCCTGTCATGAGCGATGGTCCCAGCGACCCCTCTGCAGGCTGGAATTACTGGCCGGTCACTCCTGCCCTCCGGGACCTGTCGGGGAGAGAGCTCCGGCCCAGGGATGCCTCGGGATGCTCGATCCCACAGGCCACCTTGGCCCAGGCTGCCGACGGGGGCTACCAGGCTGTGCCGAGAGGTGCGGCAGCCTGCCAGGTGCCCCCACTGAACTGTGAAGACGGTCCAGGTACCAGGGGTCAAGGGAAAAGGGCACAGCTCTGCAGATACTGCCCGCGCGTTCAGACCAGCCAGAGCTACCCGGCCCTGCCTGCCGCTCAGCCTCTCAAGGTAAGAACTCGTGCATCTGGATCCCCAGTCTCCAGCCATTCCAAAGAGGGCCCCGATTCCACCTGGTTCCCCACCTGCAGTGGATGGGCCGCCTTCTGAGGTACCCACCAGCCGCCCTCTTCCCCAGCCAGGTGCTGTGCTCAACCACCTTCTCATCCACTGGAAACAATTCGTTTGGATGGAGACAATGAGGGGCAGCCGGACTGTTGCCCAAGATCTCTGCCCAAGGGGGCCTGAGGGAGAGTTGGGCTGGGAAGTGCAGACTCTCAGGGGAAGAGCAGAGGGAAGCACTGGGGGTGCCGGGCACTGGCTGGTCCCTCTGGCCCAAAGCCTTAGGCTAGGTGTTTTCTCACGCCCCACTCATCCTCAACCCCTCTGAGCCACAGAGGTCTGGACCCTGACTCCAGAGCTGAAAATGCAGTGGAGGCTGAGCAAAACGCTCCTCCTCCTTCTCAAAGGATGGGGCAAAGCAAAACCTATTCTCCAGAACGGACAGTGGGAGCCATGGTGGGGGGAGGCGTCAGTGGTGGTGGGTTTCAAAACCCAACCGCAGCCCGAGAACTCAGCCATGACCTCACTGTCATCCTTGACCACTGACCTTCTAGAGCCCAGGACTGCTTCCCCACCCCCCAGTGGCTGTGCCACCTGGGATGGCAGCCTCTAATTCTCATCTAAAGAGGAAAGGTCCCCTCGAGGGCCTCCAGGGGTCCTGGGACTCTTACGGGCTCTGCTCTGATAACGCGGTGCCTGCTCTGTGCTGTGAACCTTTTATTCCCAGCGCCTCTGGTCCAGTCCCCCATCACGCTGGTACCTGCTCTCAGCCCCCAGCTCAGATGCACTGCTCTCAAAACAAGTGGGCACATCTGAGTTATGCTGTCATCTTCTCTTTCCCGAGGGCACAGACAATGTGCTGTCCTTTGCATGAGTTTGGGGGACAAGGAAGGGCGTGCGGGTTGGGCTTGGGGAGATGAGATAGAGTGTGTGGAAGGTTGGCATGGAGGGCACTGCCAGGGGCGTCGCCATGAAATGGAGGAAATTCACAAGGGTATGGGCCTTCCATGGACTCCGAGGGGAGGCTGGTCATCTGGCCTCTGCTCTCCCACCTGCGTGTTTGCGACCCATCTCACCTTTCCGCTTTTCAAGGAAGGGCCTGCCCAGTCTCAGGGGGGAAAGAGGAGTCCCCGTTCTCCCCGGTGGGCCGGCTGGTAGAGGAGATGCTAGCTTGCTTCCTGAAGGAATAGTTTGCATTCCGTTGTGCTTCTCGTGTCTCTCATTTCCTATGGGGATTCAGGGGCAATGACATTCCCGTGAGTGCGTCAGAGCCCAGTCCCTCTATGTGGGTCACGCAGTGGCTGTTCTTGGACTTTAGTGCTGGTCTGACTGCTCAGAAGCCCATCCTCCCCACCGTCCCCTCCCGCCTGCCAGATCCAGGCCAGAGTCTCAGAGCTGCTGCTGTTTCCCTGGGGAGAGGCGCTGGGGGTTAGTCCAAGTGTGGCCTCATGTAGCCCCCTCTGTCAGGGGCATCCAGACTTCTGTTGCATCTGAACTAAGGATGCAGGATTCCTGGCAGAAAGTCAGAAGTCCCAAGTCCAAGTCCTAATCACTCAGGGTTCTCATTTCCCCACCCCGAAAACCCCAAGGATGCCCCCTGCCGTGGAGATCTGAGTACTAATGTGCTGGCTGGTGAAAGGGCCCTCCATCGAGCTTTCTGGAGGGAGAAGCGAGATCAGGGGGTGCCAGATAAGAGCAGGGGGGCCAGGTTGCTGGAGGCGAGGGTGGAGTGAGGAGGAGGACTACAGCAGCTTTTCTTTGGCCTTGCTGGGCAGACGTGTGATACCTTCTGCTGTGGGCAGAGAGTGGAGTTGCAGATGCACAGATTCTTACGTACCTCACAGCTGTTGTTATTAACCAGACAAGCCCTGCCCTGTGTGGAGGTTAGAAAAAGGAACCACATCCACAGTCTTTCCATCGGTCCATCCCTGAGCAGATTAAGGGACCTTGAGGATGTGAAGGATTAGTGTATGCGAATACACAACCCGTTCATGTTTTAGAATGTACCTATATGAGTTGTAGTAAAGTGTCAAAAGAATGATTAAAACCCACTGAGGCCCTTGATTACCCAGCGGGACCTTTCACTTGAGGTGCTCATGAGACATGGGGTCAGTTAGATTATTAAAGTTAATGTCGGTCATACAGAAATAAGCGCTTTCCTGCATGTTAATGTAGGGCTGAGTCCTTGTGGGAACTTCCCGAGGAAGAAAATCTGAGTCTTCAGGTGCACACCTTTTCTGTAGTACTCCCAATGGCTAAATCGGTCCTCTTGGTGTTGAAACACCCTGGATTGCAGAGCAGACACTGTTGACTCTCACCCGTCTAGGTATTTGGAGGAGTGCAGTGATCAAATCACTAGGCTCTTTTTCCTTGAAGCTGATTTAGTTTATTCATGTGGAGAGCATGTGCATGCACACACGAGACAGGGGCAGAGAGAGATGCACCCTCAACAAGGTCTCTTCATGCTGCCAACGTCCCCTCTCCTCAGCCCTTCAGCTCCTCGGGGTCTTGATCACCCACAAGTGCACTTGGCATATTTTCAAGCTGACCCAGGAGCCAACCCACGGTCTGCCATGTGGCTTCCAGCACTAGGGCTCAGTTTGTGACTAATGACGTCACCAGTGGGGCAAGGCTGGGTTCTGGATTTTCACTAGGACTGGACTTTGTGAAAGCCCGAACTAGCACTCTGTGTCCTACCGAAGACTTCCACTGCAGTATTTTCTCTTATTAATACCTCAGAGTTCATGAGGATGTGCACTCATCTTATCCCCACTTCACCAAGGGGGAGGCGAGCAGTGGGGTTGAGGAAGATCAGGAACTTGCTGGGGCTGAAGACTGGGGCATGGAGGCCCATGTCAGCTCTCATGTCTACCCAAGGCTGCGGCTCTTTCAGCCTCCTTCCCCTTCTTTCCAGCTTGGCCGGATTTCCTTGGAAGGTGCTAAGGTTTAAACATTCTCCCTAAACTCATGTGCTGAGATTTGCCTGTGACGGGATTAAGAGGACGAAACCTTAACCCAGCTGTAGTGTTGAAAGAGGAGGCCCCTGGTAGGAGATTAGGATTAAGGTCGTCAGGACAAGGCCCCCATGACTGACTGCTGGCGGGTTTATAAAGAAGGAAGCAGACCAGAACAGACATGTGAACACAGAAGCACATGCACCTGCACTCTGCCATGTTGTGGCCCCTGGGGCTTGTACCTCCAAACTGGAATTGAGTAAATCTCTATTTTTATAAATTATCCAGACACAGGTGTTTTTCTGTGATTAGCCACAGACAGAGTAGAAGAGAGAATAACCTGACATTTCTAGGGAGCCTGGTGGTCTCTATTCAATGCCTAATTTCTCTGATGGAGAAGGTGGATGAAGGAGCCTCGGGAGGATTAGATTTAGTGACCAGCAGGAAGGAGTACAGCTGGTTCTCTAGAAGTGGTGAAGGACGTGGGTTTTCAGCTAGGAGCAGTACCGGTGAGGGCTCTCCCATCCCTGTAGTAGGTCTTCGTGTGAATCAGAAAACACCTGTGGCCTGGGGTAAGGGAAAGCCTGGTCCCCAGTCCCCTGCCCTCAGTGGGAATCGGAAGAACTGGCAACATTCCATTTGAGTTTGGGGCTTAACATACAAAGGCAAGGAAAAATGGAAACAGTTCAAAAGAGAGGAAAAACAAACTTTCTCTAAAACCGTTTTGGGGAAATTGCTACATATTAAAAAAATTTTTTTACTAGGTCTTCAAACCTTACATATTTTGTCATAAAATAGCAGTGACTTTTGGTAAATGAAAGGTTTTAGAGGGGCTGACAGGTGGCGTGGAGGTTAAAGGCACCGGACATCCACATGGCTGACCAAGGTTCAAGTCCTAGACCTGGTGGCTTGCTTGCTCTCTCTCTCTCTCTCTCTCTCGCTCTCGCTCTCTCTCTCGTTCTCCCTCTCTCTCTCATCATATCAAAAAAATAATAGTAACAAATGGAATTAAATAAATAAATAATTACTTTTTAAAAAAGATTTTAGAAAATTAGCACTACATACTTACTTTTAACAAAAGTTCTCCCAATGGGGTCAACAGGTGGAGTGGAGATTAAAGTGCTGGATTCCCACATGGCTGACCATGATTTGAGTTCCAGACCTGATTACTTGAAAATCATGCCAGGCATGTGTGCATGCATGCCCAAAAATCCCAGAAGGAGAATGGAGGAGAAGGGATTGTGGTATGGCCATTCCCACCTCCTACCAGGGGTGTGATGGCTCATTTTCCCTCTCTCTTTCTCTCTCTTTCTCTCTCTCTCTCTCTCTCTGGTGAGCACACGCACCCTGTGGCAAAAATTTTAAAAATAAAATAAAATTTTCCCCAAAATGCCATTTTTATAAACCTCATACAATTTCCACCAGTAACTTTAAATTTCCATGTTGGTCTTCATTTTCTCTTCCCCTCTTACTGTAGGTCCCCAAAAGTAATCAACTTCTCGAGTTTTTGTCAGCAGCTTCTGAGAGTGTTAAGGACTTTAAAGCAGAGTGAGAATGAGCAAGATGGACCAGGGCGTAGTGAGAGGTTTGTGTGAAAGGGTGACAGGGGTCTGTGGCTGGCCGTTGGTCTGATGAGTGAAAATGCGGGTCTAGTTTCTTACAGGAAGGCCTTCCTAGTGGACTGAAAAAAATAGTTTTAACTCCCCATATTGGGGGCTATTATCCCTTAAAATAAAACCAACATCCAAAGTACGTCCGTAAAGTACCTTGAAAGTTTTTATTTAGCGTCAAGGTCATGGGCACAGAGATTCAAGAGTTGACGCAGTAGGTCTGGTTTTGCTGAGTAACTGGCTGTGTGGCTTCTGCAAACTCGCTGGACAGACTCGGCTGCTCTTTGCTCTCTGAGGTTTTTCTAGTTCTAACATTCCATGGCAACGATGAAACAACGAATCCAGAGAGGGAACAAAGCTGTCTAATGACATCAAAATATTAAAC